AGTATTATAATATGTTCAATATCAAAATACCACCTTGAAATCTAACCAACACAGCTTCACTTGTAGCAACTTCTCTAAAGTTTAATTTGTTCAACCAGCAAGGATATGTGTATGTATATCATGTATATATTTATATAGATTTTTAAGGTGTTCTCCCAATCATTATTCTTACAGAAGGTGGCCACAATTTACCTGATTGCTTAGGTGAAAATGTTGTTTCATATTTTGATCTTGGGGCATTACTTTGTTTTCTTAGTGAAATTCATGCACTGGGATTTGATGAGAAGTTCGTTCGGACATGGGAATATTATTTCGATTACTGTGCAGCTGGTTTCAAGTCATTGACTCTTGGAAATTATCAGGTAAATGTCTAGAGTTACTATCTATTTGCTGCTTTGCTCGCTTTACTTCCTGTTAATTGTTTGAAATGTGAAAACGGTCTTCTGAGGAGTCGGAAAAGTTACTTCATTTGCATCCAAGTGATAAGTCAGTTTCTAAAATGCTCGAAAAAAATCAAACAAGCTACATAAAAGTAGGAGATGAACTTTGGATACTGAACTTCATAAAGATCATATGAAATTCAACTGATATATATCATCTTCAAAACAAAATGGTGTCAAATTCAAACAAGCTACATAGGAGTAGGAGATGAACTTCATTTACTGAAGTGAATTTGAATCTGTTTAAAGGAATATGTAAGAAAGTGATATCTAACTCACTTGTGCTAAAGAAAATCCTAATTACAGATTGCTTTCTCTATGCAAACAAGTTTAGATCTTATTACAATGGCTTCCCATGTTTCAGGTTGTATTTTCACGCCCGGGAAATGTGGCTACGCTCCAAAATCCATACTAAAGTTTCCTCCCAGCTAATTGATAGTAAATCAGTTTCTAAAATGCAGAAGAAAAATCAGTTTTTCTTCTGTGTCATGAGGCTTGTGGCGATGAATATCAATAAAGTTGCCGAATTTTATGTAATAGACATATATATGTATATATATTTTGAACTGCAAGTGCAAAAGAAACACTTTGTGTGACAATAATAAAGAATTTGAAAGTTGAAAGTAATGCCTATGCATTGTATTCCCAGTATTGATTTGGAACAGTCCAACAGGATGGCTCAAATTCAAAAACCGACCACAAATTTCCATCTTCCAAGCTATATATTCCAGTATCATCCCCCTACCACAGCACATCAAGCCAATAATTACCAGTAAAGTAAATCAAGTTCCCTTTACAAGTCTGAAGATCTTTCGTCGATATTGAGACAGAATGATTTACACCAACAAATACAGCACGATCTCCAGGTGATTCCACTTCTACCCATTTTTTCTTTCTGGTATCCAATTTATACACATGAAACAGCTGCGTTCGGTTAACATTGTCATGATCTACATACAGCTGGTTAAGGAGAAACCTCAAAACAAGCAATATCTCCTCTTCTGATTCAACTAAACAAAAGATCTTTCTTCCTCAAGGGATTTCTTCAGATATTCGTCAGGAGTAATCGTCATCCTTTTTATAGGAGAACAAGTTTGTAAGTCCCATATATCAACTGAAGCAGACCAACCCAAGACTAAAGCAGACCAACCCAAGACTAAAGCATATAGTTGGTTTCTGCAGCAGATAATATCATCATAAGAACCATTAAGTTCTATCCACTTTCCTCTCTTGTATAATCCAAGCTCGAGGTGGCAGATAGTGAGTCGGCAGATCCAAAACAACACAGTATTCACAAGTGGGTTTCGTTGTTAGAATAACCTTTCCGACAGATTGTTGCTTTTGTAGATGTAGGCGTTGACTCATTCTTGCAATTTTTTATTTAACAAAGAGTGACTCCATGGATGGAAGGTGGATATAAAAATCAGTGATGGGGTTTCACAGGTACTGAAAGTGGTAATGTCCAAAAAAAATCAACCATCGCTGCAAGATGATAAACATGGACTCAAAACGTTATAATATTATATTTATTTATTTAATAAAAATTATAATCCTTATTTTCACTGGTTTCAAAATTTACTTTATTAGAATATATAATATTATATATATTAATTTATTTAATGACATAATTTATATTACATCATTAATCTCAAATTTACATCCTCTATACCACTACTCAAATATAAGTACACAAAGAAAAGATTACACTTGTCAATTTACAAGCTTTCATAATTTGAAAAAGGTATCGCTCACGTCGGACAGCACAATTCAAATTCAAACCGTTAAATAAGAAAGTCATTCTCCTAGTATGCCCAACAGGAAACTGCTAGGATTTAGCCCATTTACCTTCTCAAAATCTAAAATCAACATCCATGGGTTGAACTTAACAAACATGCAAGGCTACGCGTATTTCGGATAAACCCAAAATATTTTGGTTCGAATATTAAAACACATATACCAGGGAATAGATAAATATTTCGGTTAACTGCAAATTCTAAAATATTTCGGCTAACCAGAAATTTTGGTTCGGTTAACCAAATTCCCTTCCCCTGCCCACAGTAAACAATCACTTCTCTATTCATTTATTATTTTATACGCAATGCAGCTATCGGCATAACTAAGCATTTGCAAATGAAGTTACAAGATACAAATCTACTGCGAAGGCTATCTGATACTAAAATACATAACTAAGCATTAGAGGAAAATTGTAATTATTCATGTTCCAATTATAACAAAGGGAACCTGACTTGAAACTTATAGGTTCAACATACCCAATAGATAATGACTGGTCATATTTTCGTCATCGCTTGAAGAATGTCGTCCCTTCCCAACTCGATTTGCTGTCAAAAATGGCCCAACAAACAATTGTACACCTGCTTGCTGCCAGCATTATTGGAAGTACAGGTGCACAGAAAATACCATTAATTAAAATTAAACAGTAGCTTACATTCTGGCATGTTACTTTGCAGCCAATAAACCACGCCAGCCATCAACAGCAATTGGAGTAATGCTTTCAAGTCTTGACATGCTTCCCATATAGGTGAAAACAAGGCGTTCTATGACTCTTCTGGAACACCATCCTCAGACAGGCCGAACATACGGAGGTTGTGATCCATTGATCCCACTGCCAAGTACTTTGCATCTGGACCAAATTTAACTGATGTTACTTTACCTGCAATGAGATTGGAAATAATTGCACCCATCAGACTAATAGAACCAGAAAGAGTAATTGACAAGAAGCAGGGGGGAAAACCTGTGCCAGACAAATCAGGTAAGGTTTTTAGGCAGTTCCATTCTGTTTTAACTGTGCCGACTTGGTAAACTCTGTGGAAAGACACAATATCAACATTAAAAGTATCATAGAAGGAATTCTAAATAAGCATTCTTAAAAAACTGGACTCAGTAAACCATGGAGAGGGGATGAGGACTTCTAAAGAGTTAGAAAGGGAACTAGAGTTGAAACTTCTTGACAACTTTACTATCAAAAGTGTCAAGTATTTCATCCAGAGAAGTTTATATATGACAAAACCCTATAAACAGGGATCCTGACCAGCACCCACCTTATATCTGAGCCTGCAATTGCAAGGTAACTTCCACTATAATCAAAATCCACTGCAAAAGCCATAATAAGGATTTTGTTATCGATAGTTCTTCATAATTATCAACAGAATAACAGAGAATTGATAAAGAATAAGTTTTGCACTCTATCCATCAGAAATAAGAAGTCACAAAACCCAGAATCTTCAGCACAGAGAATGATGGGGAACATTAATTAAAGAGCTAAATCACCTAAAAAGACACCAGTATATGGAATTTGCTATATCCAAGACGACAAAGGTAGAGCGCCAAAAAGAAAAAAAGCGAGGAGTGCAGCCCTTTATATAACCATAGAGGTTTCGGGATCTATTTCTAGATAATACATACCAGAGTTTGTTGGAGTATTTGAATCATACAACTCAAATGATCGGAAGTTCTTCAATTTACGCAGATCCCACAGTTTGACACCATCATGAGCTGCAGTCTGTTCAGTTCAAATGTAATTAGATTTATGGCCAAGAACAAAATTATGGCAGCACAATACCCTGCCAAGAAATACTTACCGCAAGGAAGTAACCGTTTTCTGAAAAAGATATAGCAGATACTGCACCAGTGTGTCCATCAAAGTTTGCAACATTTCCCTGTTAGGAATGTGAGGACAAAGTCATATTTTTTTAATAAAAGGTAAAAGGAAATAGAGATATCTAAACAGGCACAAAAAAAATTTTGATAATTTCCAAGAACAATTTACTACCTGACTTTTTACATCCCAAATTCTAACAACAGCATCTGAGGTGCCAGTTCCAAGGATGAGACCATCAGGATGAAAAGCAGCAGATGTGTAGCCCTGGGAATCTGAAGGGTGTGCAACCTGCAGATAAAGGAGGGAACGGGATTCATGCAATCTCAAAGAAAATGGAGAAAGTATCATCATCTAGAACAAAATGGTAAATATGTTATGTAACAATCAATGCCTATCTAAAACCTCAATTACCTCACTGAACTAATAAACACAGAAAACAATTTTTCATCTGAAAAGAGAAAAGTACAGTTAAAATACCAACTAAAATCATCTGTTAAGACCAAGTATTTTCATTGGAACTCAAAGTTTAAAAAAAAATAAAAAATAAAAGAGCATTGGTATAGTTTCACAAGATAGTGTTAGAATATAAGCTCAATAATTATAGAACAAAATCCCAAGTAAGCTGAACTAACATCAGATGGCTCAATTCTTCTTCATTAAAGGTTAAAAACAGTTTTTGGCAATTCAATTGAATCAGGATAGACACCTACACTTGTTCTCAACCAAATATCTAGATGCAATTTATTTCAAAGAAGAACTTAGGATTCAATGCAAGTGAACAGGTTTGGACACTTATGTGATGCATAATTATGACTTCAGAAATAAATATATAAAAATGTCCACCATACTGCTATCTTGAAAATATAAGGAAAGGTTAGGACCTGTGCTAAGCATGAACCAGATGAAAGATCATAGAAGCACCAAGTGCTATCAAGGGAAGCAGTCACAAAGTAGTTATTTGTAGCGTGAACAGTTACAGCTTGCACCTGGCAGTGTTGAGAGGTGAATGATTCTTATTTCATCAAAGGCAGAAAATAAGCCAGAAGAACATAAGAACAAAGCTCAGCAATACAAAGTTGTTAGGTTTAGTGAAAGACACCAAAAGAA